GTGTATGTAGAAGAATTACAAAGTTGAGTTGAGTTAAAGAAATTTAACTCAAAACCGTTGTTGTTGTTGTTATTGTTATTAACTATATAAAAATCATAAAATATAATTTTTTTAATAATATTTATATAGGAATATATGAATATTATAAAATATAAAAAATACTAAAAACTAAATAAGGAATATTGCTAATATAATATATCACAGTAAAATAAACAAAAAACAAGCATTTAAAAATATTATAAAAATAACAGTTATAATAATAATATTAAAGTAATAATAATAATAATAACTATTATTATTATAAAAAAATAAAAGCATACTAAAAACAAAATAAGGAATATTACTATTATATGATTTCACCGTACAATCAAAAAAAATCAAGCATTTAAAAATATAATTATAACAATAATAATAATTATTAAAACAATAATTTAATAATAATAATTATTATTATTACTACTACAACTAAAAATGTAAAAAGATACTTAAAACAAAATAAAGAATATTACTATTGTAATATTTCACTGTAAAAAAAAATTTAATTAAAATATTTTTGTTGATGTTGTTGTTATTATAAAAAAAATACTAAATAAAGAATTATTACTATTGAAATATTTCAGTGTAAAATAAAAATAAAAATAGAAGTATGTAAGAACAATATAATATACACACAGGTGCATCGCAATAAATTAGAATGTCGTGGAAAAGTTCATTTATTTCAGTAATTCAACTCAAATTGTGAAACTCGTGTATTAAATAAATTCAGTGCACACAGACTGAAGTAGTTTAAGTCTTTGGTTCTTTTAATTGTGATGATTTTGGCTCACATTTAACAAAAACCCACCAATTCACTATCTCAACAAATTTGAATATTTCATAAGACCAATAAAAAACATTTTTAGTGAATTGTTGGCCTTCTGGAAAGTATGTTCATGTACTGTACATGTTCTCAGTACTTGGTAGGGGCTTCTTTTGCTTTAATTACTGCCTCAATTCGGCGTGGCATGGAGGTGATCAGTTTGTGGCACTGCTGAGGTGGTGTGGAAGCCCAGGTTTCTTTGACAGTGGCCTTCAGCTCATCTGCATTTTTTGGTCTCTTGTTTCTCATTTTCCTCTTGACATTACCGCATAGATTCTCGATGGGGTTCAGGTCTGGTGAGTTTGCTGACTAGTCAAGCACACCAACCAAAGACAAACTACTTCAGTCTGTGTGCATTGAGTTTATTTAATACACGAGTTTCACAATTTGAATTGAATTACTGAAATAAATGAACTTTTCCACGACATTCTAATTTATTGAGATGCACCTGTAGATACATATATATATGACTCCCACTGACTTCCACCGCATGAACAAAAGACACACACACAGAATAAAAATAAGTCGTTCAGGTTTGGAACGACATGTGGGTGAGTAAATGATGCCAAAAACGTAAATTTTTGGGTGAACTACACCTTTAAAGGGGTCATATGATGCGATTTCAATTTTTCCTTTCTCTTTGGAGTGTTACAAGCTCTTGGTGCATAAAGAAGATCTGTAAAGTTACAAAGACT